GGTCGTGAGCAGTGTGGCACGTGCTCGTACTCGGGTGATCAAAGATAACACTTAATTATATATATATATAATATAAGTAAGTAAATATATATGTACAGAAAACATGTAAGGTGATGCAAGACAAGAAAAATAGTTACACTTCGCTACGATCTTAGAGAGAAGAGACATGCAGATAAAAAAGTGTTTTGTTTTGTCAATGCTCACATACACGCACGCACGCAGGCCAGAAGAGTTTCATTGTCATTTCATATTTGTTTTTTTTTCGTTTTTTTTCGATATCATTTCATTTTATCGATTCGTTTGGTTGATTGGTTGGTTGGTTGCTCCGTTTAAAAAACGAGTAAAATAAGGAAAGGTGCAAACTGTTACCTTTATTATTCGGTCAAGTCAAGCAAACCTCGGGGGGTCCACGAGATACCGACGCATTCCCAGAGAGCCAAAGCAACGTAAATGTAATACACACTGTGTCTGAGGGATGGAACCACGGAAATATAGGATAACGGGAACGAATCCATGAATAGGAGGAACGGGGTTTCGTGATAAACGCGTGATCTCGCTTGGAACGGACTTCAGTTATCTTGTTGAACATATCGCAGTATAAATCGTTTCTACGATGCAGATCAATAATAATTCGCTGGATGCTCGTCTTCGATCCGGGCGAGAACACTTTTACGATTAAAGATGGTGACGCAAGGATCGAATTAGTAAGCGTTATGACATGACGATGGTAAAATGGGGGATGATATCGGTGATAATGAGGGACAGGAGGACAGAATGGATTTGATGGGATGCTGCGAGGGATGGGGTCTCTTGGGATCGGTCTCGATCTTGACGTTCCATCTATTGAGAACTGTTTACTATTTTCATTTATCTTTCGTGATTCGGATATTGTAATATATATTTTTAGGTGGATTTCTGTTACGCATACAAGAGATAGAAAATGTTACTACAAAAATTGGTCGTCACGTACGAAGTTTCCGAACAAGTAAGTCAGTTTAAAAACATAAAGTCAGTTTAGTCTTATACATATCTGAACGAGATTAAACTCCATTCCTTCGGAGAAAATATTCTACTCAATACTTTAACACTATCATTCCATTTACAAGACACATACAATTCACCATCATCCTATAGTCTCCCATTAATCTTCAAAAATACTGTTTTAACTATCTAATTCTGCAAACATAACCTATCTTCTAAAAACAATTGTATACAGTAAAAACTTGTTCATCGGAAACAAAAGAAACCGCACAAGTTGAAAGACTTCAAATAACTATACATTAATTCAAGATTAAATGCATGTCTATTATCAAAATGGTCATAGATAACAAATACACAAATGAGAAATTTTGCGTGTGTATGCTGTCAACGTCGAGATCGATGACCGTCGACAGAGATGGTCGGGGACGATAGGTTGCTGTCGGGGGATGACGATGGAAAAGGGTCGCCGATCATCTAGTTACCTTTTACCTGTAGCTTGGCCGTGTACCTGACCTCGGCGGCGGGGTTCGCGGCGACGCAGGTATAGTCGCCGGAGTGCTCGGCCGCGAGGTTCGTTATACTGAGGAGGCTTGAGTAGGAATCCAGTTGGGAGACGTTTGCGACGGAAGCCAGATTCGGCGGCAAGGGAAAGGGACTTTGGCCGTCTTTTAGCCAGGATATAGTTAGGGGTGGATCACCCGCCGCGACCCCGCACACCGTCCGCGTCCGCATCCCCTCGGATAGTCCCTCTTGGAACGTAAATGGCTCAATAATAGGGGGTACTGGAAAAGGTCAAGAGAGAAGAGAGAACCATACGTGAGAGCGAGAAAAAGATGGCACCAAAAAAAATGCAAGAACCGTTTTTTTTTCTCTTGTACAAGGTACAAATGTGTTTTTCCTTTTTCTTTTCAACTTATATATGTATGTATATATATATATGTGTGTATAAATATATACAATATATATATTTGGTTTCTTATAGTAGCGGCATGTATTTATATATTATATAGACAGTAGTACGTCCATGTATATGTATAGATATATATAGAATATAATATGTATATATATATACGTAGAATATGTACAATAGAGGCATAGTAACGTAGCAATGTAGAGGAGAGAGAGGGTGGCCCCGCCGCGGACCTGCCCCTGCCGCCCTTAAACACCTTATACATAGAAGTTTGGCATACTCACGACACATACGCTCGTTCTCAACGCAAGAGCTAGCATTCGTCGACCCTTCCAAAATTCTGTTTCGTAGACTTCATCTGATCGCCAGGAATTTTGGCATTTGGAAAGTATTAGCTTGATGGGAAAGGAACTCGATTGTTTAATATTGATACAGACAATTATTACAGGTAATTAACTTTAAAGTATCTTAACAGATTTCTTCGCACTCTAAAATCTTCGATTAAATTCTATTCTAGAGAAACAGTATGTTCAGACTTCCAACTTTCCAACGATTACTTCAATAATCAAATAATAATGATAACAACCCCATAAAATATAAAAATTCACGATTTATTATCATGCGCAAGCTACTTGAAGAAAGTTCAATGACGAGTGGATCATTTTGTGGTTACCTCCCATCAATCTAATATCACCAAAACGGTTCTACAATCCGGTGAAACCTAAACCCAAAAGAAGATCAATCTTCCATTTGCCGTGAATTTTCGAAGGGTCGATGCAAGGACCAAGGAGAAAACATGGGAGATAATAGTGGCAGGTCTCGTGCAGGAGGATGAGCCACGCTAAGCGTGAGCTGTCATCGAGATCACGCCCTCAGGTCTCTACGTTCCTGAGCGGCGTTCGAGGCGTCGTAGTAAAAATCCTTCTCGAATGAACGCGCAAAGAACTCTTGTATCGGTCGTGGGATCAGAATTCATCGGTTGTACCGGTCCACGTCGAAAGCTATTTACAGCGGCGGCATCAGTGCAAACACTCGGAACATTGATCCCGTAAGGAAGCAACGTGAAAGAACGTCGGCGAACGAACGCGCGTTTCGCGTGTCCACGCGGTGTATGCAGTGTAATTTGATTTATTCGAGTGTCTCTACTTTGCCAGACATTTGTTTTCTCTCTTTTTGTTCCCCGTTTCAGATCCTCACGCGCTTCATTCTCGAGTTACTTGGGCAGACCGTGTACGCACTCGTACTCGCACTCGCTCGGATTTTCGGGCGGGCAGGCGGTCGTCGGGCAAAAGTGAAGGGGGCCTAGAGGAGGATTACCATGAACCACAAGCCGCTGCGTGTGTGATACCTCTGCGGCCAGATTACGGGCCACGCACGAGTAGTTGCCGTTGTGATCTGGAGATAAACTTTCAATCATCAGTATGCTATTGTACTGGTCCACATTGGTGACGCTGACACGCTCCGATAGACCCATCGATCGTCCGTCCTTGAGCCAGGAGATCGAGAGAGGCAGATCGCCCCTGGTCACCGAGCATGTCAACGTGGTGCGCTCGCCGAGGTGGAGGTCGCGATCTGCCGTGAATGGGCTAATTTTGGGAGGAACTGGAATAATAACAACAACGACAGCGGGTGAGCTCGAGAACCATTACACGATGAACCAAACACCATATCCCTGGTAGCCGGACCACGTCCAACGGGAATCCTAGAAATTCTGTTCTTTTCCTCCTTTCATTTTTTTTTACGCTTTCTTCGCAGGGATCGATCTTACGATAATTCACCTCCTGCCTGGTTCGTCTAAGTTCTTCTTCCATGGTTGGACATAAGATGATTGGATTAAGGTTTAGACTCGACGTCCGACTTGTGCGATCGCCTGCAACAACCGTAGAATAGGGAATTGAAAATGAGACCCTACCGATCACTGCTACGTCGCCGGATCTTCTTGCGCTGTGGCCTTGCTTGTTCCTCGCTGAACACGTGTAGACCCCTGCGTCCCCCTTCTTCTGCACGCTTGAGATCACTAGGGTACCGTCCAGAAGCACTTTTTGCCGGAGATCGTCCGGCAATTCACGATTCGCGCGTTCCCACTTGATTTCCTCGATCGGGTAGCCGGCGACTGGACACTTCAAGCGAAGAGTTTCACCGGCGACGGCGGTTACCTTTGGTATTAGGCGGATGTATGGAAGACCTGGAATTGGAAATTATTCATTTGTTGGATATGAAACTATAAATATGTTGCTCATTGTGTTTTCTACTAAATTTGTATATACGTACGTTCAATATTACCTAAAGGATATTATTTGGTAAATATGTTGACTATGTAGCAGGTATTATGATTAAATTCTCATTTTCTATTATTGGTCTTTTTGTCTTAAGGTTTATTGGGTGATTCGATTCACTTATTTTACTATTATTACTCTAATATTTTTACTCGTTAAATCAAATAAATTAATAGCTCATTGAGAGTGTATCATACTCGAGTCAGATTCTAGCAAGAATTTAATGATACTTGATATTTTCCGTATAAGATCATCTAATATTTAGTTTCAGTTTTAATATTTTCACCTAAATTTAAATATGAATCGAAAAGTAAAACGTTAATAGAATTTACGTACTGAAGAGACGTAATATTTAAATAATTCCGTTAATTATAGTGATATGAATCTTCTGTTTAAATGAAATTACATGTAGGTATATAATTGCATATACATATTTCTTAAATGTTTTGCAAAGGTTTTAATTATGATAGCTAGAATGAGTGTACCATAAACGTTGAGACGAGCAGCGTGATTGGCTTTTCCAGCCCGATTTTCGGCCGTACAAGAATATTCGCCACCATCCTCCACCATCGCGTGACTGATATTGACGTGGGATATGACGTCCCCGTGGACTGTGACGTATTGACCTATGACAAATCTGTGAATACACAGGAAAGATTCTTTTTAATCAAACGAACTAAAACGTATATTCGGAAATTTTTCAAATAAAAAATACTTTCGTTATTACACTTTCTAGACGGTAAAAATGCAAAGAAAGATTTACTTAATAATTAGATAAATGACCATTCTATACAAAATATTATTTATTCTTTCATGACGAAGGAGAATAAAAATCATGTTTTCTCAATGAAAAATACTGAAGTTTTTAATAGAAGTAGTAAAAATAAATGAAATAATCGTGATGCAAAAATGAATAGTTAGCACTTATATAAATACGTTTCGAAAGATTTAAACAAACGAATTCGTCTTTTATAATAATTTCAGTATAATAACTGTAGTAGTTTCTATAGTTAAAAGATAGTCGAGAATGAATGAATTTCTCTCGTTCTATGAAATAACAAAAGCTTTCGCATTACTGTTCATGATAGTTTCTCGAAAGTAAATAACGTTCATTGTCTATAATTACAAAAGCCATTTTTAAGTATGTCATTGCGATGCAATAATATTGCTTCCAAAATATAAAGAAAATATTTGTCCCGACAATTCATACCAAATCGATTTCGCTAGCGGGTAGGTACGTGCGGATGCAGAAGAGCGAAGACCCGTTTCCGGATACGATGGAAGGAAATGGTTGGCTGCCATAGAAGAGCAGCAGCAAAGAATCACTTTGCATCTTATATGCCGGTGGTGTTGTATAAAAGAGTGAAAATGTAAATATTATATTTCCGTGTTTTTTGGATACTGTGCTGAATGCACTAAAGTGCAATACAGACGTTACCGCAATTATTTGACAGTGGAAAGCGATAACTTTGAGTTTTAATGAAAAATATGAGATCAATTTGAAATTGACCAGTCGATTAAGTATTAAGTCATTCTGTTTACAAATTAAATAATGTTTTCAAAACTGAAGAAACTATTAGGTTACATCTATGTAATAATCACAACTGAGATAAGAAAAACTATGAAGAAGATTGCAACTTATTGTTTGATTCCTTACTAATGAATTTTAACTGTGAAAAAGAATGGAAACGTCCATTCGCGCATTTGTCGTAGAAAGAGTACGCGAAACAAATGATCAAACATGTTTGAGTAGCAGTGCACAGCCTTCAATGACGTTGCGTCAAAGTTTCGTGACACACGGATCATAAAAGGCTCAGTTATAGCACTTAAAGAGACAGTGGCTTTAATTCACAGGTCGGAAAATAAGCTCTGTCGCATGATAATGCACTGGCTCGCCGTGCGTGGCTGTGCTAACTGCTTTTTTGCCACAAAAGCAGCTCGTAATGTTGTGCCATTGACCGTATTCGCTGAATTTAACACAGCGTGATTACGTTTTGTATTCATGGCTGAAAATAATTATGCCGAAGAAACGTTATGACAACTTTTCATAGGTTATGATCATAACAAATTATTATAAAGAACATGTGTCAAGAGGACAGTCATTTCATGTGTTATTTTATTAATTATATTTATATTGTTGTATAAATTCTTTATAGTTCCGCATAAGAAAACCTATTTTCGGTAAAGTAAAACACTTTTTCCCACAAATTGATTACGTTTTGTTATTTTGAAGAGAAGCGTTTCTATATTTTTACAATAAACCTACAGGAATCTGAAGTAACTAACAAATTAGAAATCTAATTGTAAACAAAATACTGAATATATATTTATATGATTCGCATTATCTTTTTAAATCCTGTCTTTGAGTTTAATATTTTCATACTTCTTGAAGTACTCGAGAGAAGGAAACGTTCGGCTGCAACGAGAGAACACGAGCGAAGAATCTCGGGAGGTCTTTTATGTCGATCAATCGTTAAATCGTACGAGAGCTGTATATCTTCACGTCCACTTCTATTGACGCCTTTTCCAGACTTGTGTCCCGCAGGATCGCAATGAATATTCCAGCTTCTTGCCAGGATATTGCACTTGAAATTGAAATTAGCTCTGGCACAAATACGACCGGCACCGTCCTCGACGCTCGATCGCATTTTAATTATGGGCCATCGAGCACGCGTTGAAAGGATCGTTTTTGAATTACAGTCGCCTACTGACGGGGAATCAATCGCAGAAGAAACATGGTATTCAATTCATGGTTTCATTGTCGCAGTATCGTTTGATATACAGATGCTTGGTGTTTTTCATTACAGAATTTAACGATGCTTCGACGAATATCAATTTTCTGTGTCTCTTCTTAAATGTCTATCGACCCAAAAATTAATAAAATTTAATGCAAATTTAATTATAGTAATTTTGAAATAAAATTTTCTTTTCATTGATTCATTTGGCGCCTGATTTCGTAGATGGATTTATCCTTTGAAACTTACCATAGGTTATTTGAATTCAGTTTTGTTTCTAGGTTTTGTAGTTTCCATTTATACATAATAAGACAAAAACTTACCTTCCATTCGTTGGCAAAGGGAACCCGTCTAAGGCCCATGTGACTTGCGGTGTGGGATTCCCTGCCGCAGAACACTTCATGGATACGGCTGGTCCAGGTTGCATCGTTTGCGAGATGAATGAGTGTAATAGCATCGGCGGTGCATCTGAAATAAAAGAAGACACAAAATAAAATTATAAAAGAATAAAATTATTTACGAATAAGGTAAATCTGGGTTAGATGGTCAGATCTTATTTACATTGTCAAATATCTATATTTTCAATTGTTTTTAGCAATATATTGAATTTTGCGCATAGGCCTATTTGACTATTCTTTTTATACGTATCTACTTTCATAAATATATTTTCTTTTTGTTAGGTATTAGTGATGTTTACGATGTAACAGTTCTTTTAAAAAAAGTGGGCCATCTCTCTTACCCTATTTAAAATATCGCTATATCTACTTCAATGTAATATTAATCAATTTTTGTGAAATATGTTGCAACTCTTTAGAAAAATGTATTTTTCAAAATTTTAGAAAAACGAACACTTATTAACACTAGAACTATCGAGCATTTAATATGATTGATATGTGATCCGTGTATAAATTATAACAATAGATTATTTTCAGTTTCTTCAGACATTCATTATAGTATTCAAGTGAAACTATTTATTTTCAAAGTCATTTCGAATATTTAATGCTTTTAAGGTATCAATAATTGCGAAACAAGGAAACCGAAACCAGTCATTTTGACTGGTACGGTTCTAGTGTTAACCCCTTGTCTTATAACAACGTGTCAGACTCGCGGTGAAGATTTTCAACACAATTTAACAAACATAAATATTATTTGATTCATTCGAATTCAAAATAAATATTATTCTTCTGTAATCAATTATTATACTTAACAGTAAACACAGACATAGAATGTACCTATAATTTTTCTCTTTATCGAATAAATTATTGATGACGAAGTAGTTATATTGATCGGAGATGAGAATAAATAATAGGGCAAGGGGTTAGTATGATTAATAAAAGTAAATTTTTAAATTACAGGAACATCGAGAATGAACATATAAGTTTTGAAAGAAATATTCGTTTAACATTACATTTCTGCTTCGAGCACTCCGTTTCATCATCTCAATTCTCAGAAAAAAGGTTACAAACTTTCCTCGAGCCGTTTAGCCATAAAAAATCCAAAATATGCACCTGTTTCTCAGGGTTTCAAACCATCGCGGCCCTTAAGTCAGCTGCGAAATTCTCACTAAAGCGTTTCTGTCAAGTATATACGCACATCTCCACTCCTCGATGATTTTTACGGACGCACGCCGCCATAAAACACGGTGAAAAAGAAATTGGAGGCTTCACTTCGAACGTAGCACGCGCCTCTTGTCGATCCGTGCTTTCTCCCCCAAAGCCCATTTCTCATCTGACACTTTCGCGAGTGCGCGTTCACGCGACTTCAAAGAATCATCGGAGCCACGGAGCACCCGGGAATAGCGGTCGTAGGAATATCGAAAGGAAAAACGAGAGGGAAATACAGGAAGATCACGAGAACAATAGAGAAACACGGGCAAGAGACAAATCCTTTTTAGCGTTGGTATTCCGAAGCTCGGTTGAAGTCTCGATCAGCCGAGTAGTCGTGTTCTATGAGGATCGCGGTTGAAAAGAATCTAAAAAGAGCGACGAACAGCGAAAAAAGGGGAACAGGGAAAATGGAGGTGGGTGAGTATACGGGAAGCATAGAGCAAGAAAAAAGAGGTGAAGACAAGAAGAGGAGTGCCGGAACGGTGATCAATCCGCGATATTCGCGCAGGTACAATGACCGTCGGCGCAATCGAATATCCATCTCGTTAAGAACGATACGTTCCGCTGTACGGGTGGGATATCAAGGATAGTGGGGAATGCGGAGGCAGTCGGTAGCCAGCTGAAGAAAGAAGCTCGCGAGGCTGGGGCGTGAAAGACCCGGGCCCGGAGAATCTTGATTCTGAAAGCCCCTGCCGCGCATCGTAATAGAAAACGAAAAACAATGGGCTCGCTGCGACGGAAGCGTGGGCGAATATTTTTTCTCTCTCGATGTTTCTATCCTCGACGACACGCTGAAGGGGACAACGCGAGCGGAAGAAAGAAGGAGAGACCAGCGGCGGGGAACGAGAAGTCCAAGATCGAAGCTTCCTCTCGTCGCGGCTGCAAGGACGAGGGACTTTTCATAATTAAAAGTGTCGATTTTCGTCGTCATTAAAAATGCTCCGGCGACACGTTACAAAGAACAGGTTCCGACGCTTAGGAGGGGGAGAGACGGCTCTGGAGTGCTCTAGAGCGTTTCTTTCCCGCAACGCTCGGCTCTTCTAGATGAACGAGGACGGTCGTCGCGGATGGCGCTCACGGACCCGTGAAGAGATTGATGAACCTCGTCTCGATGCCTCCGAGCGATCGTCGATACGTGTTCGCGGGATCGCGAAAACTTGTCCTCGGACTTCAATGGAAATCCCTCTGCCAGCCTCGCTCTGTCTGCGAGGGAAAATTGCGCGGCAAAGAAAATGGAGGCCGGATGTACTCGCGAAATGAAACCGTCTGGGAGGGCGCACGGAATTGTTCCTGTACTTCTGTGTTTCGGGGGACTTTCGGCTGGGATTTTGGTATGGAGGCGGAGAGGGAATTGGATTCTGCTTTAAGTTCTCGAGTCTTTGGAGCGCTCGCATGAAAATGTTTTTGGGAGATTTGGGAAATTATAGGGATTACGAGCTTGCGGATGGGACACGGTTCAGTGCTGCCTTCGAATTGTCAAATTTCATGCAGAGAAAAACAAACAATTGGAGATGGCGTAATATAAATTGATTAAGTGAAGATAATTGACATGTTGAGAGCTGCACGATTTTGCCAAGAAAAATATACAAAATGAAAATAATGGAATATCAAACTATATGATTGAATTGTTTTATTATTATTGCAGGTTTATCTTGTTGAATGTCACTACATTAGGTAGTGTTACTTGTAATATAGAAAAGTTTTCAAATAATCATCGTTTAATTGAATGAATTATAGTAATTCGATTTGATTTAGGTCACCGGTGACCTCCATGGCATCCAACGTGTTAAATAAAGTTGAATGATTCGAAGTCCTGAAAAAGCATGATGTAGAATACAGTGGATAGTGTGTGATTAGTAGAATGAAGATAAAATGAAATGATCTTATTTTTGTAATGATCTTATTTATAGTTAATAGATTTCTCGCAGAGGTTGCATTGAAGAGTCTCGTGTTCCAACTTTGACGAGGAATTTAGAAAACTTTGTTTAAACGTCTCAGAATTTCTGGGCGCCAGTGGCCAGGTGTAGGTGTATCCTCGGAAAAACGTGAATCTTCATTCGTCGGCGAAATACGAGGCAGCTTTGGCGTGTTCACGTTCGCGAGCAGAGGGAAATTTCATAACGCACCGTGCCCCATAATTTCTACGGGAACGTAATATTCACCGCCAGCCCGCTCGCGCTTTTAATATACGCAAATTCGCGAGCCTTTTTTCTCGGGATGGACCCTTCTGCGCAGACGCGGGAAACGGCGGAAATTAAAAGATCGCGCGACCTCGACGAGGAGACGGGCTTCAAAGATATCAGAAATCGAAGATGTGGTTTGACTGCTTTCGTGATACGTGTTGCCTCGATATGTACGATGGTGGATGTTTCTTCTATTTTGATAGACCTACTTTCAAAGACGGTAACGGGGAAACCGGGTATTAAGTAAATATACTCGAAATTTATTGGACGATTTTTCAAATGAAAAAGAAACGTTGAATCTGTTGACTGAGAAGATGATTTAGTTTCTTAATTGTAGTTGATCTGACTTACGCATGATTCATCATTTGTCTCCTGTTTACTAAGAGATTTTTCAAGAGATATTGAATTGTTCTTAACTTTGCTTGGTTTTATAATGGGCAAAACAGATCCACTCTATTATACTTCAATTCTTGTTTATAACTTGAAAATAAAATACCTTAATTACTGTAATAACGATTTTTAAACAGTATTTCAAAGAAAAATACCTATTTCATACACATTTCTGCTTAGCTTAGTTTATTCCAGCCAGCTTTTTTAGCTATAATATTATTTCCTCTATCACAAGTTTCGATCAAAATAAAGCAAAAATACTTTAACTAAAATATTAATCTAACTAAACCTTGCATCATCTAGTGTTTCTAACGGTATTTAAAATATTAGTTCCTCAAGTTGTGCTCAACTCTGGCCACAACAATTCCCCATTTAGGAGGTCTATTCAAGCATCAGGCGTCCAAGAACAGAACCGCATCAGCGTTGCAAGTCACTCGATGGCAGACAATGACAAGTAACGCGTAACAAGGAAACACGTGTAACTCAACTCTAGCTCGTCAACGACGATTCTTTTTTTCCCTCTCGGTTCGCGGCATTAGAGGCTAGCCGGTTCCTTCCGTGCCACCCTCTTTGCCGCTTGCGAAATTGCAACGAGTCTCTCCCTCTCCCTCCCTCTCTATCCAGGCCATCGTGCGTCCTTACCGCGGCACCGCTTGCTCGAATTCCCTTTGACGTAAATTCCGTGCATTACCGACGCTGACGAGCGAGAGACGCTAACTTCATTGTTGTTTCAAAGGCCCTCCTCTCCGGGTTCCTCCTCCGCGTCCCCCGTTAACGGGACGGTTCCTCTTTCATGCGCCCGGCCGCCTCTCCTCTCATCCATAGGTGGGCGGTCCAGATATAGGGCAAACGGGCGAGAGAGACGCCGCGTAGCGGTTACCAAAGAGTGCTACACGGTGAAACGATGAACGATGAGGATGGGGGTGGACTCTCGGGTTCGGGGTAACCGACGCGACTGCACGCCAGCTCCAGGGGCTAGCTCGGTGGCTAGGAAGAAGCAGGGCGTTATAAAAGAAGCCTCCTCTACTTCAAAGCGGAGGCCCGCTCTCGAGGCAACCAGCCGCCCACGTGGCACCCACTCTTTCCACTGGTATACTATAATCGAGTTCATCTGTAATGCGATCGGAGAACGCTGACTATCGTTCGCGGTTCACCGTATCGCTTTGACGCGGCCCGTATCGTGTCACTTCTGACGCGTCACCTATGCCAACTCCCCTTCCCCCGCCCTTTGATCCGCGTTGGGTTTATCGATTCGGTGAAAGTATTTCGGAGGGGACCAATTGGGTTAGCCTTCCGTCCGGATCGATACCGACCGGTGTGGACCTCTCGACGGTCCAGTAAACGACTTGCAACGGGGCAAATGATCGGGTCGCACTCGATGCTCGCAGGGCGAGAAGGGGGCCACCCGCAATTTTTGATCGAAGAGATTAATAATAACATGGGTTTCACTGGAGGACAACCGCACTAGTCGAAATGACGTGGTTTGTCTTTCTTTGATATCTTAATGGTGTTGAGTACTGGGAATGATCTTGAAAACATTGTTTCCCTTGAATATTGTGATCGATGGGTAGGAAATTGAAAACTGTCTATTGTTACATTAATTACATCTAACACTCGGTAATTTTAGTATTCAGAGTTTCGGGGTACGTCGAACGATTTTGTTGTCTGGTTTAGAGGGGTTGATTTTTTATTAATGCGGAAGAGGACTGGGCATGGCATTCTTTAGGATTGGTGTTTTGGAGATGGCGTTGAGAGTTTTGATTGGGATTGTGAATTTCAGTTGATTTAGAGGTGCACATGGATTTGATGTTTTAATGTTTTTGACTTTTTAGTTTTTTATATTCTTGATATTATACTGTGAGGATATTTCTGGAAAGTTTCAAAATTATCGATATAATACTTTGAAATATGTTTCTTTTGTATTTAAGTGCGAATTTTATTTGAAAAAAAATAAAATTAAATTGAATTTGATAGTTTGGTGTTTTTATTTTCGAAAGTTTACAGATTATTAATGAGGAAAGGAGTATACGAAAGGGAATTGCGGAGGTCGAATTCACGCGGAAGGAGCAAAGTCACGAGAAGAGGAAAATGAATCTTCGGGAACGATCTAATATACTTTGTATCCGGCGAAGGTGGAGAGCAACCGGGAGAAGTGAATTTATACGTGTACATAGACCTATTCGGAGCCCATTCTCATCTGCAATTCCGATTGAAACTGCAAGGCAACTTTCCATGTAATTTTCCTTTGTGCAGTCGTAGCCGAAATGACGTTGAATGCGTGGAATCCAGTAATTGAGATCGAAATGAATTGGATCGACCGGCCTCGATGCTCGTCTACTCGAGTATTTCTGTGTACGAAAACTGTTTCCTGATCGGCAACGTGCTAAATTGCTTTTCTCTAACTGCTGGATAACCGATAGGTTTTTCAAAGACTTTCAGCTTGAACTCTGTAAATTCACATCGCTTTACGATTATTTGTTTATCTTTATTACCTTAAGTAATTTGCATGATGTATTTATAGAAACTGTATATTTTCCTCAATATTCGAGGTACCGAATTGGCTTTTACGTCACTTTCTAGAATTCTACCTACATTTCTAAAAAATATTTTTAAAATGAATTTATTTGAAACATCATCAACATTCATTTCTAAATTATTACATATAAAAAGCTCCTGAAAAATCTTGAAGAAGTGTAAACAAATTTGTCTTGTACCTTGACCTTTGTAAGACATTTCTTTTAACGCGTTGTAATTAACGTTGTCTGACCTAGAACGTACTTATACTACTTAATTCCAGTCTACTCCGGTTATCCAAAGAGTCGCAATATATTTATCATCCATTTACAAAAATGCTAACGTACTTGATGGAAAATTTGTCTGAGGAATAAACAATAAATAAAGATACAATAAAACAATAGTCTAAACATAACTCCTAATTGATAATTTAAAAATCCATTTACAAATATTCTATCGTCTTTGATGTATAATTCATGTGAAGAATAGACAATAAATAAAGATACAATGAAACAGTAGTCTAAACATACCGCCCAGTTGAAGTTCGGCTGAGGCCTGCGCGGTGTCTCCTTCCGACCGTCTGACTATGCACTGATACATTCCCCGATCTTCCCTACCGATCCCGTTGAGCCTCAATAATTCTGATTGTCTGCCGGTTCCTGGCAGCTGCCGGCCATCCTTGTACCAGGTAACAAAGTGCGGTCCTGCTTGTGGATTTGTGCTGACCTCGCATCTAAATTCGGCATTACCGCCCAAATGGACGCTCAGCAACGGAGGGGTCACTTCTACGTGCAACGGGGCGGTCACGATGAGCCTGTAGTAACATTTTCCTTTGTACCTACGTTCGCTTCCGGTGCATGAAATTTACAATGTGTTCCCGAGATCTGGGTAAAACAGGGGGCAGAATGATTGCAAATAAAACATAAACTGAAAACATTGAATAAAATACATTCAAGTACCTGGTTATACCTTGCGTTCTTATTTTTGGGAACTACTAAAGCATGCATGTTAAATAAACTTTCGCGATCTTCGGAGGATAAATATTATTCTACGTTTCCAACTTATTTTTTTATTTACATATATCCGCGTAAACTTCTTCACGTTTTACACTATGATTTACGAAACGCTTTGCATCAAATTTATTTTTGGAGGAAGTTATTTTCGGAGAACGAAATTTCTTTGACACTTCGTTTTAATTAAAAGTTGATATGTATATCTTAAATCTATATTAAAATTTGGAAAAATAGTTTTCTAGGACAAAATATGGTTTAAAATGAATGAAATAATGTAGGATACCGAATTTCGGCGCTGGTTTCGCCGCCAGGATTAGACGCGGAGCAACGGTAAATGCCGCTGTCTTCCAGTGTGACAGCTTCGAGGGCCAGGACAGAACCGAGCAGTCTGGTCCGTGGTCCAGAGTGTACTAGCATCGGCTCAGATCCGGTTTGCGCGTACCATCTAAAGAACGAAATAATCGATTGGTTAATCAAATAATATATTGAATTGTATTATGTAAGTAATAGCTAGTAATAGCATGTAATCAAACAGTTAAATGAAATATATATTAATGATCCAATACATAAGTAAATTTGTGAACTTTATTTACGACAGCATCATAAGTAGTTAATATTTTTCAGAATGCCAAAATAAATTATATTAAAGTATGAGATCGATACTACTTTTCAAGAATCAAATTATCCTATAAAATGTAGTCGTATAAGTAGTACTGAAGAGGCTCGAGTACACAATTCTTCAAATGATATTTTAAAAAATTGTAATTATCTTTTCTTGCTATGAAACTGGTTATGCCACATTATATGACCAATCACCACTAGAAGAAGAAAATTATAAAAATTTGTTCATATGTAAAAACACGTAGAATTCTAGACTATTTAAGTAAAGAATAAATCTCAGACATGATTCACGTGATTACAAGGTAACGCATTATCCTTTCGTTCTTTTCCGAGTTATTCCAATTTGAGCGAGGATTTTATCCCTGGGTTTTTCGTTGAAGAATAATTTTTCATATAAAGGTGGAACGACCGTTGGGATAAAGCTGAGGGACGGAGGCATGGAGGGAGATGTTCAATTTCACTGGCTTTTGGGTACGTCGACCCAGAAACGACATCGAGTCGCATCCACGGTGAGCATTTATCCCGGAGATTCCTCGCTTTTCTTTCGATTCCTGAACTTCTTGACAGCCTTCGATCCTGCCACCTACGGCTCCCAAGCCGTGACCCCTGCTAACCTAAGGTAACCAGACATTCTGATTTTTCAAGATTTGTTTCCATTTTCAGTTTTATGTCCGTCATCCCAAAAATGAATTTTCGGGATTATTGTACGTAATATCCTGATTTTTATAAATATTCATGAATTTTAATCTTCACTTCGTTACTTTATGCGGTTGTTACCGTTTAGTATTGAAATGTTTGCATCATTCAGTATCATCATACGATACAAACAACAGAAAGAGAGATTCTATTGATCTAATGAAAAATATAGACGTAAAAGATCCTGTTTACCTATGTAGAATACATATACTCTACAACCGAGGCTCAGTAAGTCAAATCGCAAAGGAATGTATAAGATCTTCAAGTTGTAAAGGTTCTGTCTTATCGAGTTTTACAGTAGAATAGGTTTAGTAAATGACATTCGGTTTATAGACGTTTTGTAAGATGGACGTAAAACCTGTGATCCTATATACTTAGAAATATGCGGGAATAACATATAAGACAAAGTTCTGTTACTACGTAAAAGTGAACTTCGACTTGGAGAAATTGAGCTTCTTCTGAATGCAAGTTTTAATGTTAAAATACGCACTAAATACTAGGCACTGAGTTACAGAGTTCTTGTATTTCGAGCTGTAGAGGTTTTGTCAGTGGCATACAAGATAATGAAGGAACTCTACGAGGTATAAAGGTCTTCGAGTTATCGAGGTTTTACAGTTATCAAAGCCTTTGACTAGTAGAGGTCTTTGAGTTGTAGAGGTTCGACTTATCGAGCTTGAATCGTACATAACAAAAATACATTTTTCCTTTCCCTACTTTTTAGTTTTTGTCCCGATTTCATCTAGTCACTCTACGCTAACTTTTCCCCGCAGAGATCGCTGTTTCCTCTTTATTTTCAGTTTCCCTTCGACGTCACTCACTTCGCTACTTCTGTCCACCGAATCACCTCGACGCGTGATAGACTCGAACCCCATGAGGAATTCCAACGCGAAAGTAAGTTCGGGCGGAAAGTTTTCCGGGCGAACTCGCGGAACAAGAAAAGAGAAATAATATTCAAGCCGCTCGAAGGAGTTTTCAAACTGGTTTCCGATGAGCTCGAGTTGCGACGTAAATCACGATGATATTCCGCTCGCCTCGGTTGAAGAATTATTATTAGGTTGTCCGGAAATACATCGCGGCGTTTATGCACGATATTTAAAGTTCCGTAACTTTGCCTGAGGGAAAGGTACTTGGGAGGGATAAAGTCTGTTGCAATTTGTATACTTTTTCCACCGCGACGAGGTGGCATGCTCATTACATTTTTATAAAAGTCTTGAAAGTGATCAATTCCCTGAAAGCGTTTATAAAAACGTAGAAGTTATATGATATTTTAAGAATTCTAATAGCATTCAGAATTCTAATAGCATCATCCAAGTAAAAATGTTGCCGTACGTGCTTCCACTGAACACATTGCATTTGAAATTTTTACGTTCAAAAGAACCCTGATCGAGAGAGATGTTCCAATAGTCGCTCATAAAATTCAATTTAATATTTAACGAAGAACCGTCCACTGTCCATTTTCTGCAATTATTCAACTGTTCCTCTCCGAAAATTGCAGCACCACGGTATACAGGCTACTGATTTGGTTACCAATATTCCCAATAGATTCCCTTATTCCTCGCAGATATTTCTTGGTCAGGGACATATAGATGCACGGCCATTGGGAAAAGGAGATCCGGAAATTCCGGTAGAGAAAAAGGGTCTAGAGGGCTCCTCGTAGACCCGGAGCGACATGGAGAGTTTCCGATTGTGCTCCGCTCGCGAGGTTTCATGTTCGAGTGCTCCCACTTTTCCTCGATCAAAGTCGCGCCCAGTCCTTATTCCTTTACCTACCTTCCACCTCGAATATTCACGTCTTCAATCTTCCTTTTGCCTTCCCTTTTCCTTTATTCTCTGTCCCGATGCTTCCCTTTTTCTCATTTTCTCGTCTCATCTCTCCTCTATCGTGCTCAAGAAACGCAAATTTTTTGCGCTTCCTCTGTTCTCAGAGGAGAACGCGACAGATTAGAGGAAAAACGCTTCATAGGGTTTGCTTTCATATTATTTTTCAATTTTTTTTTACGTCGACCCTTTCGATGTCTTTTGAGTGTTCTAAAAGCGAGGAGGAGGGTCGAAAATGGCTCTGTATACACGGAAATGCTTGTACATATTGATAAAGATGTGTTCGAGCACTTTTTTGGATGGAGTGAGAAACAGATTTATTGAAAATTTTAAAAGTTGGAATGAATGGCGATGTGAAGGTTTTCGGGAAGTTTGATAAATTTGCAATTGCTGGGTGAAAAATGGACACGAAGAATTAATATTAGATGTCTTATTGACTTTGGAATTTTTATGTTTTTAAGTAAACTTTTTGAAAATGTAATAAACAATATATTATTTTACTACTGCTATTACATTAGGCAAATGGTCTCAGGTAAATAGATAAAAGAATAATGGTCAAATCATAATCATGTTCCAAGCAATTATAATCCATTACGATAATCTGAAATTTAATGCTTTAACAATAATTAACTAATCCACTAACAATTTATAACAACAAACATTTCATACAATTTCACAGCGAATTCACCGTGCAACGTAAATCTGACAGATGTTACTTTACACTACTCATAATCATAGTAACGAATTTTGGAGAACTGAATATGTATTTACGACCACGGTTTTTGAACTTGTTATCATAACTCGGTTAATTCGTCAGTCGGCAAACGAGTACCTCTCATGAATAAAAGTAGAGCTATCTCGATCGGCTGAGGTCTGCCTATAGAACGTCCAAACGAGATTGCCTTAATTAATCTTCGCGATAGAAACTCACCGATATTCGGGAGTAGGGCAGGCCTGCGCCACACAAACTAATGACGTTGATTCATCTTGAGCAACGTGCACCACGCCGGAATTTTCAAGAATCACCGGCGGCATCACTCCCCTGTGATCTGAAAAAAATATCAGGGCAGTTGATTAACGCATCGGTTTAATTGCAAAAAACCTCTCGGAATTTTTTCGCGGATGAAATGTCGTAGCAAATTAAAGAGAATCGTACCAGCTATCCTGACGTTCGCCACGGAACTAACGACAACTTGTCTGGTGAGACGATGCATCGTTCGACACCTGTATCCGTGTATCTGATCGCTGAACTCTAGACTGTGAACCAGGAGTTCACCGGTAGGCAGTAGATGAAACTTTCCATCTGAAATCATATTAAATACATCACGCGGTTATTATAAGAATAATATTCTTGTTGACGATGTTTTTGTGTAAATACTTGTATAGCGTCTCTGTTTGATAAAGTATACTGGTTCTGGAATAAGTGGTCGAGTTATGGCATCGTATGTTACACTTTCCAAGTATGAAAAAAGATCAAGTTTATATGTAATATAAATAATATAAATAATATAAATATGTAAACTCAAGTCTGGACTTGGACAAGAATTACAGATTTCACAGAACTTCAATAAAATAATTCTCATACGTAACATTCCGAGTACAGTGAGCAGTAGATAATTGCAACACTCAACGCGAGTGAAGGAGAAGGAAAGACCAAGAGTCGAAACGTTCGACAACGTTAACGGCTGGCGTTGAATTTGAGAGCTTTAATTAAACAATCAAATTTCTTTATTTTTGACTTTTGATGAATGAAACTTGCATCATCATGTTTCTTATGTTTTTCTGATTGAAGTGACAACAAACACGATAGAATTACGATCATAATTGCTGGTATAATAAGCGATTAAAGTTTCGGGTATAGAAAAGGACTGCGAAAAGAAAAGAAAGAGACCGGCAATTTAGCTACTGATCATATTTCTATAAGAGGAATATAGGCGATTGTTGATTTAATACGGAAATAATGCATACAATAATTTTTGGATAGTGAAAAAAGATTATATATTTTCAGTTATTTAAAGAAGAACTATAGATGCATTTTTTAAGTTGGAAGTTAGGGTCATTTAATCGGCAGTGGTACGTTTAGTGTTAAAATAAACCTGGTAGAGTTATGATGGGAATAACGATGTAGCAATTATGAAGAGGTTCCCGATATTGCAATTATCCAATGTTCACTGTATTATTATTTTCCGTTTATTGGACTTAAATAATATCATAATGCCCTAATTCTTATTTCGGATATTTCCAAGTTTCAATTTCAACAAAGACATTTAAATGTTCCGTCTCTTCGCAACCTGCATTAAATTCCAGAATGTAATTCTATAGTTAATAGAAATCCCCGGCCATCTGAACGCAGAACAACACGAAACTTCCTAAGTCCCTGTATTATTCATATCTGGCGTACGTAGGCAGTAATTGGTCTTGACATTTTCCAATAAACTGGGACGATATTCAGAATTATCTTTAATAACTCGGTACTATCGATGCTGCCTCGGTATCGCCTGGCTTACGATACTTTCCCCGCGCCGAACAGTTTTACTTTTATGATAATTATGCTAATTTCGGGATTTCCAGCGTCCCGTCCTGGATGGCAGCCGGATACGATCTCTTCGTTCTTGCACGGTTTAAGCCGTGGCGCTCGTTCCTTAGATAAGCCGGAGCAACGTTAATGACCGTAGTTATCCTAAACATTTCGCAGTCGCTTCGCGAAACCTCTTCCGCCGTCGGGAATCTTTAACAAGGTTCACGAATACCAGATTAGCTTGTACAGGGAAATCGTCCCTGGGGGTTTCATTCTTTCATTTTACCCACTGTTCGCTACGCGTATCTCGATTATTATTTTCATTCATTTGACCCATCTCATTCCTCTAGGCTGTCTTCTACATGAGTTTTTCTTCCTTTATGCTTTTGTACATTTATCTTTCAATTTTCTACGTTTAATATTTTTATTCCCTTTGCTTCACAGTTTCTTCTCCAATTTTTCATCCATCACGAGCTTCTCTTGACATTTTTCTCGTTTGGAATACCTTCAATACATCGTGTCTTTTTGGATGTAAGCTCCTTTACCTGACATTATTGTACCTGAGGTACCTTAATTCTCTTTATTTCTTCCTTTCGTTATCGTTAGATTGTTTCCGTGTCTTTACCATTTCAATGTTGTAGATTTCTTTCAAGATCCTCTGGCACTTCTTCCTTACTCTGTATTCATTAACTATGGAACTATTTTGAACATAATACCAGTTGTATGTCTTTTAGTTACGATTGTTTCCCAAATTCCTTTGTTTATTGCCTACCTCTTCGAACGTGGTTCCAGTATAATCCACGTGTTATCAACAAAATATTATTTCCCAACAACATTGAAACCCCACCTAAGTTTGTGAATTAAAATCAATTCATAAATAAATATAAAGCTTAATCTCACTATAGGTCTACTACTCCCTTCAGTATTACTCCTTCCTTAAACATATTCCAAACACATCTCAGCAAATAAAATTTATATACTGAAATTGGCTTACGTTCTCGAGCAGCCATTGCAATAAATTCCATTCTTGACTCGAACATGGAACTCGTAGAATTCTATTGCTGCATGGAATTTTCTATTTTACAGTGCATTCCCTTGGTTTCGACTGTCTTCTAATTTCCTTCGTCCTTTCTTCTCCGAAAGGCTGTTCTTGTTAGTGGCCTGTATCTCGACTCCGTACACGTTATTGCATCTACGCGTCGGAATAGATTCGGCCACGAGACATTAGCACAGCTAAGACCGGCTGAGATAAGCGGCCCTCCTAAATAGCGATTGTCGGCCAAGTCAGCCGGCTTGGATGGGTTATGTAGTTTCGGTATTACATTCGATGCTACGTAGTAGGGCCGCCCCCTCGGATCTATTCAACGTAGATAGTACGTACAGTCGTGTGAATGTATGCGCTATATGTAGTAACTCGGCTGGCTTGTATATCTATTCCGGGACGCATACATGTACGAACCGGGAGAACCGACGTCCGCTAGCTCGAATTACGCGCAGGCTGACCACGCCGCTATTAGTAAGATGGATACGTCACGCTCACAGAAATATGCATAATCGTTCGAACTCCAGTTCCCGATTTTCGGTGTGAATTATACTAGGTTCGTAACCGAGTTTGACACACCTTTCTTCCTAATTATTTGTTAACACGTTCAGTGCCACGTGTACCACGTATGATACGCGACAATTTTTTTAAGAAAATATTTTTAAGGGACATATAGTCACGGATAGCGCTACAAAGCAGTGAAAACATAAAAGGACAATATGAAAATATATAAAAATTACGAAAAACTTGAACACAAGTTAACATTTTATTTAAAAAGTAGGTGCAGTTCATAATTGAAATTTTAGATGGCACGAAACGTGTTAATACCAAAACTACCACACCCTTCAAAGTGACGGGTTTCAGTTTCCTTACAGAAAGTGTTAAATATCTGAATTGATTTTAACACCAGATTTAAGGAATGCGTGAATTTAACTCATATCGAATTTTATAAATGTAACTTGGTTAATCTGTATGTCGATTTTGATTGGTACGGTTATATGAATATGTAGCCCAATTTTTTGTTTTTGAATCTCTAATCCTCGAGTCCTGAATGAACGAACATCAATTTTTCTAGAGGCAATGGAATTAACTGTACAATAAATGTTTGTAAATTTAGTGCTAAGAATGAATAGTTTCATTTGAATATTAATAAATACATTTTGACATTGTTACATTTATAAAAACAGATGGTCAGATATCATTTGGAGCACCGTTTTGACTACCTATATGACGAACAATCAAATTGCGACTATAAATAAGCAATCGGATATTTCACGTTACGCGAGCTAATACAATTCGCTTGATACTTTGAAGAGCACCGCGAAATGAATATATAGGCGAATATTTGATAATAAATTATATTATATAGTATGCTGTGATAATACCTGCCAGTATATTGTATTCAATACAAATAATATGAAAGTACTGTTGGGCATTCACAGCAGCGTCCTTACTTGGAGCTGATTAAATGAAACCGCTTGCTTCTTCGTGAGTGGACTGTATTTTTTGTGTGTACAATTATGACTGAACACTAAGACGCGCTTGTATGATGTGTATCGTTTGAAAGTTGTGAGTTGTCTCTTTCGCTGGCGATCTACGAGTCAGATCGTCAGCTCCGAGATTTAAGAAAACACCCTGATTGGTTATCGCCAAAATTGACAAGTCCTAATCAGGGGCTTTCGAAACGAATTGTCCCCACCGTCGCTGCGCCCTTGGCGCCCCTAGTCTAACGAGGGCGGGGTGCTACCTAAGACATGCAGAGACTATGTGTTTAGCTTGGATACAAATTTCTTCCAGGCAAACCCCAGGTACCGAGTGTCCTTAGGATACCATTTGGTCGCCCTTCAGAAATATGCATTTACAACCCGTCGCTGGCTGCCATATGCGGGTGAAAGGAAGGTTTTAGAATTTGATTTCAAAAGGCCAATGAATCTTGCCGCGATGTGCCGTTAAAATACTAAACAATAAGAACCGTTTTTTGCCCCGTGCTGTAAAGAGCTTAAGTCTCTGCATGTGTCGACTCTATTAAGCCGTGACGGCTCAACAAGTACAATTGAATGTTTAAATGGTTGGAGATTTAATATTCCAGAACAAAGATTCCTAATTGTTGCTTAATTAAAAGTAAAATATTGTAGTATCGTAGGTTGAAGACAGTAGGACAGCGAGTGTTCTAACAGTCATAAAAGAGAAAGAGACTCATGGAGACCAGGCCCAAGGGTTGGTGGGTTTTTTCCGACGGATGCGTAATCGAGGATGATGAGTGTGGTGGTGAGAGTGGGGTGCGTTTGAGAATTTGTTGAAAGTGTGAGTAAGAAGAATGCTTATGGGGAGAGAATGGTTTTTAAGTGCGGATGGTGAGAGATTTTGGGAGAGTTGCGTTGACTTAAGGAGAGAAAAGACCTGTACACTGCGAGCTATATCGTTTCTATTTATTTGTATTTTATTCAATTATCTATTCCTGTGTTTTTTTAAAAATAAAACATATTTAAAATACCACTAATACCACAATATTTTATCGTTTCAATGTTTCAAATAATTGAAATCGATATAATTAAATAATAGAATATTTTGTTTATTTTTATAACAATTACGAAATTCCTTAAATGTATTTAATATTAATTCAACCGACATGTTCGTACATTCTGTCAATTCAATCAACAATTTCATGTTCCAACGGGTATTATTTGGAAAAAGGAACTGTAACAAATCCGATATAAGTCTTTCTACGCGATTCCAATCGAAA